TGATAAAATTAAAATAAAATATATAAAATATTCTTTTATCCCATAACACCAACATTTTTCTCAACGATTATATATACATCCAGTAAAACAATGACATCAACAGCATTTTATTAATTTATACTAAAAGATGAAAGAAGGTTATATAGATCTCCTTTAGCCAAGTGCATTATTCGATTCTATAACCATTATTTATAATATATCAACATAAAAGCTATATTTACTACCTGGCAACAAAATATAATTAGATTGCAAAAATTCTCACCTTTAATTCCTCAAAGTATAGGGATTACAATATGCCCTGCACCAAGCATCAACATGATTCCTTAAGTGGAACCGATCACACACAATATTCTTGTTCACTATTTTGGTAGCAGTTGCAGTTAAAGACGATCTCACAGGGTTTCCGGCAAAACGCTTTAAATGGCAGGAAATGAAATGAAATGAAACGAACATAGGAAATGATGCATGTTACACATTTAAAACAAGTTTTTGTTCAAGTTACATTTACCATTATATATTTCTTGTACAATTTGTCTCCGTCTCGCTTGAACGAGAATTTATATGGGGTATAAGAATCACACGGTACTCTTATCATTTATAGACCTGGAGCGAGGGGAATTCAATGAAATATTACCCCCAAGGGAAGATATAGTTCGAGGGATATATCTTCCCGAGGGGATATTTCATCGAATTCCCTGGGGGAAGGTCTATAAATTATATATTATATCGAAACAACGTTTAGGCAGCGTCAACCACACTTTTTCCTTCCATTTGCCTCCAAGGCATTTATGCGTTGTACACGCAAACTCGAATACCCTGTTGCAGCGGGAAAATTGCAGGAAAATTTCGATGGTTAACTCTGAAAATTCCATGGTAACATGATTAATTGACTGATCACGTTGTACAAATCGAGCTTTCTGATTGGATGATTTACAGTTGAGATATAATATCATAATTAATCTGTTGAAATATACTATATTTAGATAAATTCCATTTCGCCTCTTTCAAATAAACAATGGAGGTGTGCATACACTTGTGTCTTGCTTTCGGACCCAAACAATTCTCGTATTCCAACCACAATGCCACATGGCTTTTCTATCGCTAGAACACCTATTTATAACATGTGATTGATTATGCATACATGTTAGCTACGTACCAAAAATAGTATTAGAATAATATTAACATACCAGCTGTTACCTGGTATGTTAATATTTATACACCGATTTATACACACTACAATATAAAAAAATATTGCCTCTTACCAACTGTAATTGCACCATTCATTCCATGAAACATCAGTTGCCCTACATCTTTACAGGAGCACATCTGCCTGGCATTTTTCATGTTCCCATCAAGAACAAGGACACTTTGACACCCAGGAATATCACATACATGACCTGAAATAATTAATTCCAAACTATCACAAAACAATTATTTCTCAATTTACACATTGATGAAATCAGAAGGTTATACTGATTCCAAATATGGGAATTTAAACCTACTATTTATGTGCTTGGGGGGGGGTAAACTTTAAAATTAAAAAAAGGCTACTTTCTTACATGATTCTAAAAAATAAAATATTCAGATGTATTAAATACAATATTTACAATATAAGCTCTACTTAAAGAAACAATATTATATTGGGTAATGTGTGCATACCTGTCCATGTCAATTCAAAATGCTCGTGATACTTCTTAGAAACAGTTTCCAGGAACATCTCCGCACTAAATGGGCCACCAATGTCAAGATGATGCAAATGAATGACTTGCATCTTCTAGTCGCCTCCTATCTATGCAACGCCTGCTATCCAAAAAAGTTTTTTGCTCCACACTTGACTCTCTACAAAATTGTTTTACAAAACACTTTAGATATTACTCACATTATAATTATTTATCTACATAATCAAAACAGATTTTACTCTGTCTAAAAATACTGATTTACTGATCATATATGCCCTGATCTATATGTTGCACCATAACATTACAATGTAAGATGCAACTTCATGCCTTTTCATGTCCTCATTAAACAAATTTTTCTTTCATTAATCATTTTTTCACACCAGAAATGTTTTGAAACATGGTAAATATAGCTGCAATGCATAAATCAGTATAATGCTTCACAAACTTTAGTTCCCCTGTTAAAAAGTACTTCTAATCAATTCTTAAAAGAAACAAGACACTTTGGAATGTGGTATTTTGTGCACTATTTTTTATATCAAGCCCACAAATCAATAAATCGGACCATTCACTATTCATGAACTATTAAACTAATAATGACCAAGGTACAAGGATTGTTGCCTGACAATTTAAAATTCTCTATGTTATTCAAAGTTTCAAATTAATGAAGTTTTTTTTCCTTGTTATTAAAAGCATTAACCTTTGACACATTTAGAAATAAAGTATTGCATATTGCCAATGAAATACAACGAGGTTAACTTGAAAACGTTTTGCTTATTAGTTTATATTAATTGGAAATAATATAACTGAACAGCCATGTCATTTAAACTGATAAAAGTAAACAAGAAGCCTGAAGGGAACCCCGAATACTAGCATGTCACATGAGATACATGTAGTAACACAAAGTCACATGAGATACATGTAGTAACACACAAAGCGCACTTGCGACACTTTTTCGTTATACGCGAACCAAGATAAGTACCATATTACGAATGATAAACAACGACCACATGAGGCTTCCCATCAATGATTAATAAATTACCGCAACGACGACATTCTTTTCTCAAACTAATAAATACCGTAGCCACCGGCATGCCGTTATCCAAACAAAACTCGTGAAAAGCATAGAACTTTTCCTTAACAGGTGTTGCAACAAAACCGTTCAAAAACAACAGACTTTTCCCTTCGCTCCCGAACCGCGCTTTTTTTGAATAGAGTTAGCCCCTCTATCTCTAAACACATCATGATGCACTTCTCCACTTGTACGGGTCGAAACGACTCGTACAATTTGACAAATCGTACGGGTCGTCGAATAGAGTTAGCCCCTCATCTCCAAACACATCATGATGCATTTCTCCACTTGTACAGGTCGAAACGACTTGTACGATTTGACAAATCGTACGGGTCGACGAATAGAGTTAGCCCCTCTAGCTATCTCTAAACACATCATGATGCATTTCTCCACTTGTACGGGTCGATGAATAGAGTTACATGATGCATTTCTCCACTTGTACGGGTCGATAAGATATTCATTCAACTCAACCAATTTTACGGGTTGTACGGGTCGTGTCTATTTGACAGTATTGGACAACCCTCGACTTTTCGTTTATTCAAAGTAAAGTGGCATAGGACACACTGGGCAATTTCGTCCTTGTTCTGAAGCTGAAAAATTAGGAGAATTTTAAAATGTATTTTAGCGTTACTTAATGAACAATGAGGAGACTTTATTAGTCCCATTGAACTAATGAATTAGCAGTATATAAGTATGTAAGATAAGATAGTTTGCAATTCGAGGCATTCTCTCAAGCGCATAAACAAAACTTTATTTTCTTATCTACTGGCTACGATGTTGGACAACGAACGAGAATTACTCAGAAGCAATTCCGAACAATGTATTGCGGGTATTCCTTCAAGCAATGGTCAGTCCTTAAATATGCTCCAAGACATTGCTAAACTCCTCGACTCAAAGCTTGAGCAAAAGTTTACTAGCTTTAAACGAAGTTTCAAGGATAAAGACGCCTATCATGCATCAGAAATTAAGAAGATAAAGTCCGAGGCGAAAGCAGCGAGCTCGTTCAAGTTTAAAGGGAACCGTGTGCAATTTGAGTTCAATAATGTGAGATCAGATGGCGTCGAAAAGTGCCCTAACGAAAGGAGATATCGCAGAGGTGAATTCAACACTGAAAGGTCTAAAGGAGATGGTCGCTAAATGCAATAAGTTAATTTGTTTCGCTGATAAAAGCCCGGCTGGGTGGACTGCAGTTGATGAGTATGAGTCAGACGAGCTGGCAGAAAATTCTGAGGATGAGAAAAAGCTTTGTTCTGCCGAAAGAAGAGCCTTATCGAAGATGAAGTTCAAGGGAAGTCAATCGAAAGCGTAAAAAGCAACGGCCACATTCACTCGCTGGACAACAAATCTGCCACACAGCAACATGAATACACACATGGTCCAACACTAGCCCTTTCAGAGTGTGCAGCGTTCTTTTCGGCTGTACAAACAATGTTTCGCCTCCGACAAATGTTTCAGCTGTGGAGTCGTCGGACACTGGGCTGGCTCCCCGAAGTGTGTTGTTAACTCCGACAACCGTCAAGTGGACCAAGGCAAAGCGGGACCGGTCATTTTCGCTGAGACTGGTCTTAATAAGGCTGCGAAAAGATTGTGTGCAGATGAGTATTAAACTTATTTGTGCGATTTTGAAAGTTTAAATGATGTAGATAATAGTGTGTGTGAGACAATTGTAAATGAAATGCCTGAAGCTATCCAAGGTGTTCAACCAGTAAAGGTTAAGGGGTGCCTTAAAGCATGTATAAAGTTTTGGGAATCTATTGGAGCGTCCCAGTTTATATTAACAACTATAATGAGGGGATATACAATTCCGTTTTTGCATACACCTCCGCATGCTAATTTTGCCAACAATAAATCTATGGTTGAACACACAGAGTTTGTTACAGCTGCTATAAAGGAGCTATTAGACATAGGTTCACAGTCGTAAATCCTTTGTCTGTTAGTGTTCAACCAAACGGGAAAAAATGCTTGATTTTGGATCTTCGTTATCCAAAATTGCTTCATTTTGGATATTCGTTATCCGTTCGATTCAAAAATAAGATATTTTGTTTTTACGGTTTTACCATTTGGATTGTCTATGGGGCCATATATTTTTACCAAGGTCATGAGACCTCTTGTGAAGCACTAGCGTCGTCGGGCATATCGAATTGTTGTCTACTTAGATGATGGGTTTGTTCTCATACAGAACTTGTCATATCACCGGTCAGAGAAACAAAAATTAAGGTATTTTTTATGCATTTATTCATCAAAACTTTTAAAAAGATATATTACAAAGACACACACTGTCACGTTTTCTCCTCAGTCCTTTTGCGCGGCCAAGTCCTATTTTACGTCACACTATTACGGGGGGGACAGTCAAAGGTAATGTTCGGAAACATCCCCCTCCCGAATGTGACCACATTTGCAAACAAAATGTCAACTATAACTATAACTATTGTCCAAAATAAAGGTTTGTCCTTTTTCATGCTTCTAGTGGGCATAAATGATGTATTGGTCGAAGATAAATTGAATTCCCAACTTGAATCTTTACCACTCTCACCAGGCCATGCTTACCAGGATACACTTCGACTATTCGGGCAAGTGGCCATTCTCCACGCTTTGCCTTTGGTTCAACCACCAGTACTACATCACCCTCTTTGAAATTGGTCTTTGCTTGACACCACTTTCTGCGAGCATTTAAGTTTGGTAAGAATTCTCTTCGCCATCTTCTCCAAAACTGACCAAGTAACTGTTGAATTCGTCGCCATCGCTTTTTCGGGTTAATTACTTCGCTATCGGGTACTTCAGGTGCAAATTCTCCTCCAAACTGTCCAATCAAGAAGTGACTTGGTGTTAAAGGGGTTAGGTCATTGGCATCCGAACTAACATATGTTATTGGCCTTGAGTTGATCAATCTTTCGGCGCCACATATTGCTGTGTGGAGTTCTTCGTCTGTAACTTCAGCGTCACCGAGGATTGTCCTTAAAGCTTTCTTAGCACTCTTAATCATGGATTCAAATATTCCACCGAAGTGTGGCGCTGAAGGCGGATTAAACTTCCACTCGATCGGCTTCTTTGAGGTCTTGTTGACAATCTTCTCTTGATCAAACACAGTGACTAATTCGCGAAGCTCTTTCTCACCAGCCACGAAATTCCCCCCGTTGTCGGACACTACGTAACTTGGTATCCCCCTCCTCGACGTCATCCGCGTGAACGCATTCAAGAAGGCATCCGTGTCTAATGAATAGCTCATTTCCAGGTGGACAGCTCTGGTTGCCAAACAAGTAAAGAGGCATAAGTATCTCTTGGCTCTAGTCTTCCCTCTACCTTGTTTCGTGAGGAAGGGTCCCCCATAATCCACTCCAACTCGGTCAAAGGCTTTCAACGGTAATTCGACTCTCGCTTGTGGCAATGGCGCCATCATTTGACCAGGTTGTTTCTTAGTGAATCGTCGCCGACATCCTGGACATCTTTCGACTATGTTTCTAACTGCTCGTCGTCCTTTTATCACCCAGTAACGAGAACGTAGCTCTGCCAGTAAATGTTCCACACCGGTGCCGTGACCACGTGCTTCATGAGCTTCGACGATTATCAGCTTGGTCACTGGATGATCGTTCGGTAGCAAGATCGGATGTCTGGCGTTATAGGGTAACTCTCTTGCAAATCGAAGGCGTCCATCTGCTCTCAGAAGTCCTTCTTCGTCTTGCTTTGGGTTGAAGTGGAGTAGTCGTTTGTCGCTGTTTCCATCAGGAAATGCTTCTTTCTGTACTCGCTGCAACCAGTACAACTGAGCTTTCTTCACTTCGACCGGCTGAAGGTATTTTGTTGTCTTCCTTGATTCTTTTGGCTCTCTGCAGTTGTTTGCGAAACGTTTGACCCAAGCTGTTATGCGTAGTAGAGCTGTAAGACTGGAAAAGGAACGTGGGTCGATTAGTCCTTGCTTCTTTGCAGCATCATCATCTTGAATGGCGTGGTATGTCTGTTCTTTCTTCTTTTCCCTGTCAACCAGCTCGGTCTTCGTACCGTGATTGGGCAACTTTTCTGGCCAACTGGATTCATCTTCTTTTAAGAATTCTGGACCTTCCATCCATACTTTGCTTGTAGATAGTTGAGACACCGTGAGTCCTCTGGTTGGTAGATCTGCTGGGTTCCTCTCCCCAGGAACATGTCGCCACTGCTCAGGCTCGGTAGTGCGTTGAATTTCACCTATCCTATTCGCAACAAACGGTTTAAACGATCGACTCTGACTGCGTACCCAATATAGAACATTAGTGGAGTCAGTCCAAAATGTTGTGTTGTCCACCACCAGTGTCTTTCGAATACTTCCAGCCAGTCGAGCTGCGAGAATACCTCCCATCAGTTCAAGACGTGGTATTGTAACTGCTTTAATGGGTGAAACACGATTCTTCGAGGCGATGAGACGACAGGTGGGGCTGTGATCACGGTACTTACAGAGCAAATATGCGACTGCTGCATATGCGTCCTTAGAAGCATCAGCGAAGACATGGAGCATCACTTCAATTGGTTCTGGAAGACGTAGACAACGTGGGATGCTGAATTCTATCAAGTCTGGGAGTTCGGCGATCCAAGCATTCCACTTTGCTTGAAGGTTGTCTGGTAGAGTATCGTCCCAATCTATACCTGCTGTCCAGATCTCTTGCATTAGGATCTTCGCTCTGACAGTAAATGGAGTCAACAATTGAAGGGGGTCGAACAAGGTTGCAATTGAACTCAACACGCTTCGCTTCGTCGGGACTTCTGCCGCTTTAGGTTTCTTGACTTGGAACGCAAACTCGTCTTCTCGTGGCTTCCACAACACCCCCAATGTTTTCTGTATTGGTAGATTTCCATCTGGTATTTCTAGCCCTGATGTCGATCGGTGATCTTCTGGAATGTTCTCCATCACTTCTACTTCATTTGATAGCCACTTTCGCAGATCAAAGCCTGCACTTCTTAACATGTCCGACAGGTCTTGTTGTAGCTTCTTTGCTTCCTGGGTCGTTTCATAGGAATCTAACACATCATCGACGTACATGGAGTTTTCCACAGTTTCCGCAGCTTCAGGGTAAACTTCAGCTTGGGAACGTGCATGGGAGTGGAGAACATGTTGAGCACAAAATGGGGAGGCAGTGTTCCCAAAAGGTAGGCGCAGGAATTCATAAACATCAGGTGGCTTTGCCTGGTCACAATTGCGCCACAGGAATCGATGGTATCGTCGGTCTTCTTCTTTAAGCTTAACTTGCAAGAACATTTGAGCAATATCTGCGGAAAGTCCTACCGGGGCACGACGGAATCGAATAAGCACATCAACCAAGTCTCGTTGAAGCTTTGGGCCGGGTAATATGGCGTCGTTTAAACACTTTCTCTTGTCTTTTGCTGCGGCATCGTACACAATACGAACTTTAGTTGTTGTTCTGTCTTCTTTGATAACTGGAAAGTGAGGGAGTAACCATTGTTCCTCGTCTTTCAAAGGTACTTTATGAACATAATTCTTACCAACATAATCTTCGATTATTTTGTTATAGTCCGAGGCAACTTGAGGACTCTTCTTCATCAGCGACTTCTCCAGGTTCTTCAATCTCGAATATGCCATTTCAAAATTGTTGTCAAATTTCGGTTCTCCTTCCTTCCAAGGTATACCAATCTCGTACTTTCCACCATTAATAGCCTGTGTCTTCTCTGCAATCTTTATTGCAGTCAGTTCGTCTTGGGTCCAGGTTTGGTCACCGTCATCTTTGATTCCCAAGGACTCTAGCTCCCAAAACTTCCTAAGTAAGTCACTTGTTTCTTTCAAGTTCACATCCGTGGTATGATAGGTACGAGTCGAATGGTGGGAATGCGTTTTGTACTGCATGTCAGACTGAAGAGTAGGGCCGAAACAAACCCAACCAAGGTTTGTTTGTCTGGCTATAGGATCATTGGGGTGATCACCAGGGACTTCTCGCAGGATCTGATGGAAAACAGGATGGTCACTACCAACGAGCACATCAATTGGTTGCCTCCTGGAGACTTTCTCAAATGGGATGTACTTTAGGTGTGACCAACGATCTTTGATTTCACTCCACTGAATTGCTGGTGTATCACCAGTGATGTTGTCCAGGACATTGGCTTCAAGTTTTGCACAAAAGCCACCATTCATACTAGCTACTGACAGTTCGACTCTACGGGATAGCTTCTTCACTTCAGTTCCAGCAGTTCCGGAAATGGTTAGATTCTGCATTCGGCCTTCAAGTTGTAATTCTTCAGCTGCATTTTCTGTAATATATGATCCTGTCGAACACGGATCTAGCATTACATTAACCTTTAATTTCTTTGATCCATTCACAATAAGGGCTGGCAGAACCATCAGCGATACATGTTCCACTTGATTTGCAATATATGTCTTGGTATTGTTCACTTTGGTCTCGTCTCCATTTGTTGGCGCTGCGTTGTCTACTTGTTCCCCATCTCGTTCCTTCGGTTCAAACTCTTTCCTATTTCTATTCGGGTTAGAGTCATGTAAATAACTGCTGTGCCATGTACTCTTGCAGCCATTGTTCCCACATTCTCGGTTTCTAGGACAGTTTTTACTCAAGTGGCCTGATGCCAAACATCGAAAGCAACGTCCATGTTTGGCAATAAGTTCTTTGCGCTGAGTCACTGACAGTTGCTTGAATCTTTGACACACCCACGGTGGGTGATCTTCTGAGCATTTCTCTACTACACACCTTCTATTATTACCTGTAGTAGTGAAGCCTCGGTTATATCGCCTGTCCTCAGGTTTGGTGTTCTTCTTTTTGTTAAATTCCCCAGTCTCTTCCATCGCTTCATCCATTATCTCCACCCGTGTCTCAATCCACTGTACTAGGTTTTCAAAAGTGTCATCTTCGGTGTGTTCAAACAACCAATATTTATATGCTCTGACATCTTCTTCTGGAATCTTTTCTTTCACCGTGAGGTTGAGGTGTTGACTTTTCATCTCTCCATCTGGGTCATCATCTTGGAGGGCAATACGTATTCTGTCGATAATGGCTAACAACTCTTCTAGGTCTGCGAGGTTATGTCGACGAACCTTTGGTAAACCCCTTAACGCTGCTAAGTGGGTCAAGGTTTGTCTTCGTTTACCACCATATTTCTTTTTCAGTTTCTCTTTCGCACGCTCGTAAGCCTTTTGAGAATAACCAAGATCCCTCACCGTCTCTAGGGCTTTTCCTCTTAGACATCCCTGAAGTCTTAGCATCTTCTCTCTTACAGGGATATCAGCTTCATCCACCACTGAGGTGAAGGCAGCATTCCACGGCTCAAACTTGTTCTTGTCATCTCCAGAGAATATGGGTAGCTCAACTCCTTTTAGGTGAACTCTGTTTGACTTTAACCTCTGGACTGTTACAGGAACTTCTTGCAAGGCTGTACTAATCTGCTGACCATTGTTGTTAGTATGGGATGGTAGTTTCTTAAGTATTTCGTCTTCTTGTTTTTCTTCAATACTGGCAGCTTTTGCTCTGGCTTCATTTAGCATGGCGATGGAACGAGCATCTTCAATTCTTTTTTGGTTCAGTTCAAACATGTCTGCCTTCTTTTTCAAATCTTCTTCTAGTGCTCTTTGTTCTTGTTCAAGTCTACTAAGTCTTTCTTGAGCATCCTTGGCTTGTTGTTGCTTTACTCTGGCTGATGAAGACAGTTTTGAGGCTTTCGTTTTTCTTGAGGACACACTGCTCGACCAATTTGAAACTACGTCTGACTCTTTTTCTCCATTGAGTAGTCGTTCGTCTAATTGTTCATTTGCACATTTGAGGCTATTGTCTACTTCATTACCCAATTCTGCTAGTTCCTTATCTAACATGTCAATAATGTTGTCTATATTTGTCGCTTCATCATCGTCTATCACAGCGATCGTCGTTTTCATGCATCTAATCAACTCTTCAACAACTGTATACTCCGACTTTACCTTATTAATCGCTCGTAAAATACTGGTTTTGCTGCTTCTTCTGCCTGTTTCTTGGTCGTATACTAAAATCAAGTCTTCAAGCTGTCTTTTAGCGTTAGAAAATCTAGTTATTCCGCTTTTCTTTCGCTTTAAAAGCGTTTGATATCGTTTGTTTCCATTACTGTCTTTAAATGGCTCATTTCCCGAACTTTTAGGAACGTTTTCGCTTGTATTGTCGTCCTTCTTCTCGTCTAAATTAGCTCCCAAGTCGTCTACCAAGTCCTTGTTCACACTCATCGTATAGTCGAATTTACGGATTTTTACGCCTTCTGTCGTCTTAAAACCTTATTTTCACTTCCCTGCAGATCCGGCTCGAAGGACCACTTTGTTCTCATACAGAACTTGTCATATCACCGGTCAGAGAAACAAAAATTAAGGTCTTTTTTATGCATTTATTCATCAAAACTTTTAAAAAGATATATTACAAAGACACACACTGTCACGTTTTCTCCTCAGTCCTTTTGCGCGGCCAAGTCCTATTTTACGTCACACTATTACGGGGGGGACAGTCAAAGGTAATGTTCGGAAACAGGGTTAGGGGCCAGCCCAGCGTTTAATTTAGCCCAACAGCAATCCTTGTCTGTTAAAACTGACCTAATATCTAGTGGGTTTGTCCCTAATTCAGATAAGTGTCACTGGTTTCCTACACAACGTATTATTTGGCTTGGTATAGATTTGGATTTATTTCACCAGCGTATTTCCATTCCTGATGCCAGAATTACTAGCGCGACTGCAAGAGGCACTGGCCTCGGTCACAGGCTTAGTAATGTCGAACATTCTGGTTTTTGGGAACATCTGTAAACTTAGCACGAAGGCTTTGTAACGACAAATTGGATGTGAACTTGAGTTTTGAGTAAGAGAATTAAAACAGTTAAACAGACATGTGATTGCCTATGAACCTGCATGCCCGTCACACTTTGTATATTCTGATGCCAGCAACACTGGCTGTGCGGCCTATGTTGCACTAGATGACACTCCTATTTTCTATAAAAATTGGAGCGAGCTTGAGAAGTGGCAAAGTTCTGCATGGAGAGAACTACAGTGCATTAATTATGCTCTCCAAGCTTTCAAGATCTGCTAGCATTCCAAACAGTGAAATGGTTCACAAATAACCAGATTGTTAAAAGTATTCTGGAGTCTGGTAGCATGAAGCCATATCTGCATAAAATTGCATTAGACAATTACTATTTTACCAAACATAATAATATTCTTCTAGAAGTTGAATGGATTCCCCGTACTCAGAACGAAAAAGGTGATTATTCAAGTAAAATTATTGATACTGAAGACTGGCGAGTTAAAGATGAATGTTTTCAAATCGATTGCTTTGCCAGTAGTGCCAACAAAAATACACCTAGGTTCTATTCGAAATTTTATAATCTGAATAGCTTAGGCGTAGATGCTTTTGCATACGATTGGTCCTGGAGAGTTTTGTTGGTTGGCTCCCCCTATATCACTAATTAGTAGAGTTCTAAGACATGTTTTAAAGTGCTCCTAACACAAAAATGAAGTTTTTGATATTTTGATTGTCATTGGCAGTATATACGATATTCGAAAACCAGATTGCAATAGCTATTTTAGTTTAGAAGTTATTCCCGAATCTAGGCAAAGTCGTGCGTCAAAAAACGACCATTGCAGATGTTTACAAGTTTAATTTGGAGAATATGGCCTGGTCTTCAGTTGCAGAAAGAGTCAAGCTTGTTATTGAGAAGGAGCCATTTGGAATTGCAGGGTTCCAAAAAGTGTTTAAAGCAAGAAGTCCAACATCATGGTACAGTGAACACGTCTCTGGGTGGTGAAGAAGTACTTACCAACAACACTAGAGTCAATCAAACAACTGGGGCAAATGATAGAAGATCACACCAGAAAGTCTGTCCAAATGCAATCATTGGCAAAAAACATAACTGGTTGTATGTATGCAAAGGTAGAGGAGAATATATTATCATTTAACCAATCATTATTGAATTGGCTAATACCTTTTCAAATGACTAACAAAAATTGATAGCCTTATTAAAAAATATTCACTAAAGGCAAGGTGATTATAAGCAAATATAAACTGAGGCGAAGTATAATCTTATTATCTTACAAGTTGTTTCTTTCGAAAGGGATATAGGATTAATTGAGGAATTTATAGATGGTGGCTTTACAAAGTATATTAACAATACCGGCTTAGTTTGTGGCAAAAGATCAACAGATGAATGCAAGAAAGTTGGCTCATTACTCATATGAAAAGTCTTCACAGAAGTTAATGCTTCTGGATATTCAAGGTAGTATGTACACATTGTTTGATCCAGAAATTGCATCTGCCACCATCGTAGTAGATGCAGAATTTTTGTTTGGTGTTGGAAACCTAACATCTGAAGCTATTGGTGCATTCATAGAAAATCACGAATGCAATAAATTATGCCATCTACTTGGATTAAACCCTATTGCAAAGCCTGCTTCAGGGGATGATGAAAGCTGACACAAGTTATGAGACATGAGATTGTGAATAATTTACAGTGCAAACTGTCAATAATTTATAGTTCAAATTGTAAAGTTGTGTTAATTTGATTGTTTTGCTTGATAAGGTGTATCTATGGAATTGTAGATATAAACTTTATATACAATGTTTTGTTAAACAGTTAAAATAAGCATATGAAGAAATTCAAGTTAATAAAAGGTTAATCTAAAACTAATTTAATGTTTGGAGTATACTAAGGAGCTTTTTACATAGTTTCAGCCTGGTTTCAGTATGAAAGGCAGGATACCTACCTAGCGACAACATTGTCATTCATTTTAGGACAATATTCCTAATATTTCAGAACAAATTTCTGTGTTTTGACTATGACTGTGAATAACCAAATTCATTTGTGCAGGAATCCAACCCTCAGGTTGCCCCCATATTAGCTGAGTATAAAAGCATGTATACATATATGAATTTAATTTTCTCTGCCAGGGTAGTTGGAAGGGTGTTCATAGTACTTGAAGCCATATAATGATATAAACAGCCTGATTCTGGTTGAAATAAGACCATATCATTTTTATACTGTTTTAAATAGTTACAATGCATAGATGCTGTAAAATAAACAATGTTTTACAGCTTGTGTAAATCATGGATAGGCTTTATGCAAAAACTTCTCAAATGGAAACCAGTCCTTGTTTTAAGTATAGAAATGCATCAACACAATCCTTTGGTTGCACATCAACTGGATTGGGAATTAATTCTTCACATCTGGCTTTAATATCAACGGGTATATACTTCTCTTTATAGTTCAACAATTCCGACTGAATAGTAGCCTCTTTCAACTGTGAGAGGCCATGCTGGAATGCAAATTTGGATTACTATTGATCACTAGTCTGCATAGCTCTATGTGTTTAACTCATTTAATTGTGAACACATTTAATAAATACTTACAGCAATCTTTAAGTCCATATTCTTCAGGGAACTGGTAAATATGGTTGGGAACACCATCTGGTAGGTATGTGTCTTTTTGTTTCCTGATTCTATGACTGTTCCATACTGTTTCCTTGAAGTCATCAAGTTCTTTTTGTAAGATAGGAACAAAAAGATAAGCCAACATAAATCTATAAGTAGCATCATTAGGGTTAGATCGATCCTGATCATTGGTGCAATTTGCTTGGTCTCATAAAGGAATTCACGATACCATAGGCCAATAACTCGTGGATCAGAATTACCAGTTCCAACCCTCAGGAATAGTAGTTTGCGGCTTGCAGTGTCAAGACATCCATAGATTGCCAAGGGGAATGTATCCCTCTGAAATCCCATGAGTTTGCAATGACCATTCAATGAGAGGACCCAGTTTGGACCTGCTGTGGTAAACCTTCCTTTTCACGGGGCTTTTTCCTATTTTCCAACGCTCTTCGTTCCAGACCTTCAGGATCAACGTCATAAATCATTGCATGCACAATTCGTCTTGGAACTTTGAGATTGTGTTCCTGTCTTATTTTATTTGTCATGGCACGATACCCTAGAAGCTTTCCTGGCCCATCCAATTCCTCTGTTACAGCTGCCCTCAATGCTTCTTCAGTCACTGTTTTGTCCGTTCGGTAAATATTAAACCATCGCAATCTTCTGTCTAATGTTTGCAAAGACCAAGAATAAGAGCTGAAGTCCTTCTCCATAAAACTTAAAATTTCCTGCTGCTGGAGTTCTTGCCTACTGTATTCTTCCAAACTTTCTTTCAGTCTTTCATCGTCTTTCTAATCAGAATTTCTCATGTACGCCATCTTTCAAAAGTGCGAATATAAATTTAAATTATGATCCAAAAGTGCATGCGCGCAACGGTATATTATGGCAGTTTGGGCTCGTGGTGAGATGACATTTCTTTAGAAAAACAAATTTTATTGAGGAGATATATAAGGAAAATTAAATATATTAAAAGACAAATAAATGTATAATAATCCTAAATAAATAAAACCCCCTTTTTTTTTCTAAAATAAAATCAAATAAATAAATAATTTATGTAAAAATCCAATGGCAGTTTTGGGCCACCATACTTTTCATATGTTGATTCTATACGGCATGGCAATGTTTTATATTTATATCTTTTTCGTCTCCATTTCACCATCTGAAATATATGCCAAGTCCTCATCCCATTGCTTTTGGTTTTAGTAGTTTGTAAAGCAAAATATTCACTATTTACTGTATTTTTTCACATACCTGGTGTGGCACATTTGCATATTCTGTGTTGATTCAACAACCATCATGAAATATCTATTGAATCTTCTTTTAATTGCTTTTGGTTTTTATGTTTTGTAAAGCAAGATTAAAAATTACCACCCCTTTCTGTATTTAAAAAAAACAAGGTTCACAGCATCATGTTTTGTACCCCAAAATACTACTCAATTTTCATAAATTAGATAAGATCCTTCAGAACTTTGCTTGTACTGTTTTTTATACAAAGATTTCTGACATGTTTTTACACTGGCCGTAAGGACCAGTGTCTTAAAATGCCCTTGAATGTAGTCGCGTAAACGGACTTTTTTTCATGGAGTTTACCGCTTTCCTATTTGGAATCGCAGGCTCAAATCAAAATGGCCGCCGTTTTAGGAGCGGATCCGAATATGGCACCATATGGATAGTTGTTTTTATCTATGATGCCACAGAACATGCTTTGTTTTTATTATCTATGATGCCACAGAACATGCTTTGTTCAGAAAGCGAAGTCCGCCAGTTTGCTGCGCAGTATCGCCGGTTCCAAGACCATGTACACAGCAAGAATGAAAATTCCATCGATTCAGCGTTTAAAATCCGCTTGATTCGTTGAAGCCAAGTCAGCAAGTCAATAATCAGGTCAAATATTTTATATGTCGTGCTTTCGTCGCTTTATTAACTTCTGTTTCTTGAATCTGTAGTTCTTAGCTATACTATAGTCCTCAGCCTAAACTATCGACTAGTCGAGTTGTGCTTTGCTCAAAGCGTCGACTTTCTGCTTTTTTTTCACGCAGTATT